TTGAAGATACACCCGTCATTGCCTTGGCTCAACTAAGATCTGAAATTCAGAGGAAATACTAATAATAAGAATAAAAAAATGAAGAAAGACAATTTCAATAATCAAAACACATACATATCAATCCCAGAATATGTGGAGATGTTGATAAACCCAGGGCTGGATAAGTGTATATAACTATTAAGCATATGAAGCAGCTAAGTGACACCCAAGCAGCCAGGGTAAATATATAAATTTATGTATGTATAAGGGAAAAATTTTATTAAAAATTGAAATGGGATTTCAATAGAAAAGTGTGCTTGCCACAATATATATGTACCAAGGCATCATGGTGCTTAGACCATCAAGAAACCTAAATCTGGTCCTGGAGAAATCTGTCAATGCTTGAAATGTCTACATACCCCAGCACCATTATATTTAAGATTAATTTGTCTGTGATATATACTTCTTAGAACCATCTTTTAAAAAAACATGTCTTGAAAATATCTTACCCGCCAAACCGAGCATATGTCTTTCCGTATCCATTTTCCAAAAGATAAAGATCCCATTCTTCCAATAGCTTTTTGCATTCCTCGGTCGTGCAGCCTCCTCTTTTTACCATATATCTTAGATACCAATTTCTAGAAGTAATACAAATAAAATAATTACCTATCAACTCAGATTTTTACTTTTAATTCATACTGTATTAATGCACATAAATATCAACGTTTATTTTATCTGATGATTTTGTCTTCATAAATTTTTATGACCACTTATATCTATTAGTCTATGTGTTACATCATTAGTTATTTACATCTTCTTTCATTCATTCAGTCATCTTATTTTGCACTTATCTATTCAAAAAGTATCAATCAAGCATAAGGTTATGTAGTACAACAAATTATGGGGTTAAATAGATGTAAACTTCAAAAACAAAAGAGATTAACTAATTCCATGTACATGTACTTGTCAGTGAAGAACCATAAAGTCAGACCAAGTCGCATCCTTGGACGCCCAAGTTCATGAAGCATATGTCTTAATATATGTTGAAATGGGGTCTTAATTATAAAGATGACCTGAGAACACAATTTAGTTTGATTTTTGTTCACAGATCGTCCTTGTCTGAACATATTTCGCATGTACATTAACTTATAAGGTTAAGACAACTTACAGGAACTTCGGAGGTATTTTATTCCAAGAGACGCCGTCTACCTCAGTTGGTGCTGGGATTGCCTCTGTTCCTTGACAGAGCATCAGGATGAAATACAGGATCAGCGCCAGGAGGAACACTTTTTCTACTGTGTTAAAGCTGCGATGTAAATATGGAAGTCCCTATTTCAAAAGATGAATTAATTGTGTGGTCAAGCTGAAGAGTAAATGTATGCCGATCCAAAACGAGGTTTGGTGGATGTAGTAGAGAAGCTGAGGTAAGAAAATCAATGCAGTTTGTTGTGACAGTATGTTTAGGAGATTATAAAATGTAAGGAAATGGCCAACAGCTGCAAATGGAAAAATTGGAGTTGTTCACATCAACATTTCTAAGCATTCCAATAGAGAGTAAACGTGGCAGGCCAAGGTTTGGATGGAAGACCAGCATACAAAAATGGACAAAAAAAGTTTAACAGAGGTCACAAGGATGGCACTTGATAGAAAGAAGTGGAGGGGCTTGGTACATGGAGTGTGCCAGCAATTTTTAATATACAGAGTATCGGGATGATGACGAGCTGAACACCCCCTAAAATGAATCTTACCGAAGCCTATCTTAGAAGAAAAAAAATAACTGCAATACCGCGTAATTCTTTAATGGTCTCTTAATGAATGCCATTGAGAGACAATTAAAGGATTATGCAGTATTCCTTTCATGTAAGTCTGCCATATTTAGGTCTCAGCCTTGCTGGACCTCGGCTCTTCTTGATGTGAATGCTCTCATACAAACTAACTCCCTGGGCTCCTGAGTCTGTTGTGCATTACATCCCCCCATGCCATAGCCAGTTATTGATAACCTAAATGTAAAAGACTGTAATATTGGGCTAGCTGGTACAGTGTAAAAAATGATGGCATTACCAGACACAAACTTGGGGTGCAAAATGGGGTTGTGGGGGTGGATTCAAAGAACTGCCAGGCAAACGACCACTGTGAATTGAAAACTTGTTCTAGATTCGCTGTTATTTCTCATGTTCAGCAAACTAATGAGAGCTAAAAATTTCCATATTTTCAGAAAAAGAAATCTCTTTGAAATTTGTTAACTAGAGACCTCCTTTGCTTGTGATTTTTAGCTCAGATAAGAGCTCGAGGCTGTCAGAATGTCATCTTTGTCAAGGCTTTTGTCACTGATTATTGCATATCCCCGTGCAATAGGTGTGATAATATATGTGGAATTTCATGTCAGCTGAGCATTTAACCATCTAAAATCCTATCACAATATTTACAAAAACGATAAATCATTGGACAGTGTTCATGATTCTGTACTATTCAGTTGTTAGTAGCGAACTACTTCCTGGTTTTCACAACCCTTACGAAAATTTCCTATAGGATCCTATAGGATCCTATAGGATCCTATAGGAAATCTTATAGGATCCTATAGGGCACATTTCCTATAGGATTTCCTATAGGATCCTATAGGAAATTGTTGTAAGTTAAAATCTTGAGAAAAATGCATATCTTACAAACATATATCATTCTAAACAATAGATATTTGATATAGGTCCATTTTATCAGTTGAATTGTCAATTATATATCACTATTAAAGCAAAAATGCTTTTTATTGTTTATAATGCACAATCTTATAGTCTTCTATAGGATTCTATAGAAATTCTTTAATTTCTTTTTTAAAGAATTTTTGAAAAAAATTGATCATTTTAAAGTAATCTTTTATAGAGAAATATTTTATCATNGTAAGGGAAGGTCCTTTAAGGGCTCTAAAACATCATCATGATTCCAGCACATACCTTAAAACACCTAAAACAATTAGATATGGGCATATCAGGTTACATATATGCGAAAATTGCACATGACAACGACTTACAGCTTGCAGGAATCATTTTTCCTTGACGCTCTTTGTTGCAATGTCAGTCGCTGCAGCATATATTTCAAAAGAAATTGATGCAAATTAAGCACGATTTTGCACCTTCAAGTTTTGTTTAGTAACATATTTTCATCTCATATACCTATTATTTCTACAAGCAATCTCTGCCCAAAATGCCAAAAGAAAAAAATATTATCTTACCATGTTGTTGAAAAAAATGCTTTTTTCTCTTAGCCCATGTCTTCACTCCCGTTCACCTCCAGCTAAAATTGACCACTCAGCTTCACATCTTACGTCACTCCACGTCACTTCTTGCACAATCCCATTTCCTCCTGTTCCCTTCATTTGGATCAACTGAGGCATGCACACAGTTTGATGTAAAGACTAATTGTTAAATACACTCTTTTGTCATACAATAGAACATCTATTGCTTAACCTTGTTAGTAGTCATTAGTAGTCTCCTGTACTAAAACTTCTATAATTTCTAATTGTAACATAATGTAAAATAACATACTGGTACTGTATTTCATGTCTTCTACATGTATGTTGATATCAAATTTCTACATGGAAAATTTCACAAACTGATAGCGCAGGTTATATAACAAAGGTAAATACTATAACGTCTTAGGGTAGGGTAAATCTCAAAAAAATTCCATAAAAGGTGTTTTCTGAGGCAAAATTTGATGCTGAACACAAATATGAAAAACATTTCTTTCTACAACAAATATTTAGGTCGGTAAAATGACAATTTTCAAAATGGCAGCCACAACAGCCTACGTACCTAGAATTTCATCAACAACAATTAAAGGTACTACAGTATAGTGTGTCATATGTCTTTTCCTATAGGGGTGGTAGAATTCATTTCTGATGTTAATACCGAGATTGGAACATTTTATTGTGAGTTCAGTTACCATGTGAGCTGACAGTTAACTGTCAAGCTAGACTGAAGACCCAGAATCTTCGATAATGGGGACAATGAACCGCCTCAGTCATCTAGTTCAATCAAAATAAGGAGTGATAAGATTTCCCAATTCCCCAACATCTGTTGGATGGGAATTATAATGAAGAAACAATTATCCTTAACAAAAAGTGACTATTTTTAAATTATTACAATAGGATGGATGATACTCCTTTGTTTTACATGTATGAAGCCGGAAGAAATCCCTGTCATAAGCTGAGGCCAGCACAGAAGTTGCCAAGGGAAATCTCCAGTGCCAGAATCTCCAAAAGGTGTTTTTCCTATCTTTGAGAAGAACATTCCCAACAGATGTATGTTGGCAGGGGCAGATTTAGGCTCTTCTAGGACTTCCAGAAGATAGTCAGATTTTCATGTTTAAATTGATAGGTGTCTATTTTTTTCTGTTGGAAGACGGTCAAAATTGAAGGATGGATCAACAAAGATAATTTGTAAGACTGTCAGAAAATAGCTCTGGATCTGCCCCGGGTTGGATTATAATACATTTCAAAGCATTAACTGTATAGTAAACTATCAACCAACAAGGTAACCAAACTCCATTTAAAATGTCAGAATGGCAGTGTTAACATAAGGAAAATATATTTTATTACCCTAAAAACATAAGAAAAGGCATATTACAAACTAAGGGACATTTAACTGGCACTGTTGCAAGTCTTGTTAAGGCATTTTGACTGCCATTTTGAAAATCGTTATTTTACCAACCTTCATGGCTGTTGTGAAAAATATAGTTGCACGTGTGTGTTTAGCATCATTTTCTGCCATAGAAAACACTTACTTACCAAAACATTGTGCTTTACCCAACCCTATGCAATACAGGTATATACATGCATATAGTTACAACAGTAACTGCATGTGTAGTACACATGCTTTTGTATGCGTTTCCAAAAATAGTGGAATTACCGACCTAAGGAATGCTCCTATCTCAAATTTCTCATCATAAATGAACTTTTTGACCCATTTTGCCTCTAAAATCACTTGTTCCTTGAGAGATTTCCAAAAAAAGTTATTATTTACCCTACTGTAATAACATAAGGAATGTAGAATAAAATCGAATGGAAATCGCGGTTATATGTATTATGTGCGGTCATATGTGACAAGGAATTCTGGGTAACATTGCCACTGGTCATAGATTACAAACTCCCTGAATAGCTTCTCAACATCTCCGCAAATAGTGTCATACTGAGGATGCTTTGTACAAATATCAGCCCTTCCACAATTTGGTTCCATACATGGAGGCTTGTAATACTTCTTAATGGCGGTGCAGTGAAAAACTTTCCCCAGCAGTACTCGCATTATAATCATCTGTAAATTCTGTGTCTGACGTGCATTTTTTGGATCTAAAATGACATCAAAAATTAAGAATAAGTGAAAACTCCAATTTAGACCCCAGTAAGAAAAACGGCAATTAAATATCTTTTTCAAAATATTATGATGCAAAGATTAGGTCGAAGTTGTGATAATTGTCTTTCTTTGTCCTGAAATTTACATCAAACTCTGTAAAGAGCTTTTTTCAGCCATTAACAAACAGAAACAATGACAAAACAATGTTGATGAAAACATAACCTGATGGAGGAAAAAAATACTCAATCTTTTTATTTATATTTCGCTACTTTTCTCTCTTGAGAGAGTTAAGACAATAATGCCAGGCTAGTGGTTTACAGTATTTAAAATGAAATACCCAATAGATAATCAGATGTTTTACTATAAACTTTTTTTTTCAGTACAGAACAAACAGCATATATACAAGTGCTAGTAAATAAAGAATATGAAGTTACTTGTGAATAATTAAAAAATATAGAAAATGTGCAGAGCCTCAGGCGGATGGGAGTTAAAAGTCACAAATGCCAGTGTTTGAGAAAAAATTAAAAAGGTAAACATAACAAAACTAGAAAAGCACTCTGAGAGCGCAGGCCTCTGCCAAGGCAGCAATTTTTGATTATTAATGATTATTGATTGATTATTGATCCAAACCACCACCAAAAACTAATCATTGTCCTCTTTGACCCACTTCTGACAGTTCCTGAAAATTTCATCAAAATCGGTCCATAACTTTTTGAGTTATGTTGATGACAGACAAACAGGGGTGAAAACATAACCTCCTTGGCAGAGGTAAATATAATTCCAATGAAGCTGCTATTCAAACTTTGAAGCCTTGAGTTTGATATATATATTAAAAACTTATTTGCAATATTAAACAAAATTTACCTGCATAATTATCACTGCTTATTATTAATCTAGCAGAGTGCTTAACCTTTGGGAGTTTACAGGGAAATATCAACAAGTGTGCTTTATGTAAACTCATTTAATGGCCTATTAATTAGGCAAATGACTTTATAACTCTGAACTTAGCCTAGTGATACCCAAGGGAAATTTACAGACTGACCCTCTCAAAGGTCTTCAGGCCCATAAGTCACACCTTAAGAAAAGCACAAAACAATAATGCACAAAATAGGAGACTACCGATTCTGATGCAATACATGTAATACATTATGTTTAACTGCACAGTCAACATCAAATTTTAATTATGCACAACAGGTAATAGCGACGAAAGTAAAAGCATAAGGCTTCAGGCCCATCAGAGTTCAAGTTTATACTAAGAAAGTGCCAGAATGAGAAAAATGAAAATTTCACAAAAAATGCAAAAGTTTAATAAAAATGATAATCCAATAGAGCTGGTTTTCTAATATGAGCTGTATGTCAACCCTAAGAATCATTCTTGTAAGACTAGTTGAAAAAATAGAAAGTAACAGTTTTCTTTCCATAACGTTAATGGTGGCAGTGCACAAAGTAGGTTTTTTGTCAATTTTGATGCAACATTACATAATGATTAACTGTATAAATACCACCAATTTTAAATATCTACTATTAAAAACATGGACATTAAGAAAATGTGATTACCACTGGGCTTCATGCCCAAGGGAGCTTTAAGTCCCACATTGAAAATTCCAGTATGTGAAAGATAAAAATTTTCACAAAAAAACTCTATAACTTCCAGAAAATTAACTAATGAGACAGATTTTCCAACTGAAGCTGTATTTCAGTCCTACATTTCTTTCCTTTAAGTGTGAAAAGTGACATGGTTTTCCTTTCACGGTCACTACGGAGGCAGTGCCCAAAATAGGTTTTGTTCAATTTTGATGCAATATTACACAATGCTTAACAGCATAATAACCATCAGTTTTTTAATGATAAAATAAAACTATCATGGATATTCAGAAAATGTGACTAGCCCATAGAGTTCAGAGTCACACTCTGAAAATCCCAAAATCTAAACAAGAGAAAACTGTATTGAAAAGAGTTTATTTCTATTTTCAACACCTTTTTTACATAAAACAAAATAATCCATTTACTGTCATTTTTATATGATCAATTAAAAAATATGTTGTCAAAGGAAAAATATCAATAGAACAAATTTAAATGTCCAACTTGCTCCATTCTGAGATTCTTAACATAGTGAATGATTGAATCTGACGAACTGCATTGCTCCATTCTGAGATTCTTAACATAGTGAATGATTGAATCTGACGAACTGCAATGATATGAGTTCCTTTCCATTTTTGATACTTTATTACACAATACACAATAAAAGGTGTACCCTCATTTTTATATAATCAACTAACAATATTATTAAGAAGCAGAAAATGTCAAAAAAAACTTTTACATATCTAATTAGTTCCATAATGAGACTGTTAACATGCCTAAGAATTAAATCTGAAGAAAAACCACTTATATGCAAAAAGGCTAATAACTTCATCAAAACTTAACTGATCAAGCTTATTTTCAAACTTGATCTGTATACTAGTCAGACTGATCACTCCTGTGAGTTTCAAGACAAAAGGCTGATTGGTTTTCCTTAAAATGCGTTATCAGTGTTGCATATATGCTGAATAATGGAAAAGAATAGTGCAATCAAACCAATTTTCAAACTTGACCTGCGTATTATGAATATTCATCAGTTCCGTAAGTTTCAATCCAAAAGGAAAAACATTTTTACATATATCATGTTATCGTTGTTATAAAAATGCTGAAAAAATTGAAAAAAAAACAAAAAAAAACAGGATAACTTCCATAAAAATTGCTCGATCATGCTGATTTTCAAACCTGACCTGCGTATTATGAATATTCATCAGTTCTGTAAGTTTCAAGCCAAAAGGTAAATTGATTTTCCACTTATCATGTTATCGGTGCAGAATATATGCTGAAAAAAGTGAAAAAACAGCATAACTTCCTTAAAAATGGCCCAATCATGCTAATTTTCGAACTTGACCTGTGTATTATAAATATTCATCAGTTCTGTAAGCTTCAAGCCAAAAGTTAAAATGGTTTTCCACTTATCGTGTTATCGGTGCTGCATATACGCTGAAGAAAGTGAAAAAACAGCATAACTTCCCTAAAAATGACCCGATCATGCTGATTTTCGAACTTGACCTGCGTATTATGAATATTCATCAATTCTGTAAGTTTCAAACCAAAAGAAATAACAGTTTTCCATTTATCATGTTATCGGTAAAAATGCACTGCGACGACAACGGCGACAACAGACGCAGGTGATGGCTATATGTACAGACACATCTGTGTCTGTACATAAAAAGTTGGTGAAGCATGAACATGTTTTAAGTATGAAAAGAACTAATTTAAAACAACATAAAAGGGAAGTTATCTTAACTTGAAATATCCAACAAAATAAAAATAAATCATCTTGGACTATATTGTTGCATTCAGAACAAGGGAATCTACACACTAACAGATCGACAGATCAAATATGGCTGCCCCACTTTACAGTATGCTTCCTACTCCCCTATTAGACACTGAATAGATTACCAGTGGGGATTGGGCAATAAGCTTTCAAGTGGTGTTCATATTGGATCCACAGATCTGTTAGTCCATGGATCAACTTCTGTTGTGAATGTGGCCTATAAATACTTTAAAGAATCGTACCTGAATACTGATCCGCCTTGGTAGATTCCTCAGCACAGTAAATTCCTCTGCCAAACATGCCTGTGTCTTGACCCAGTTTCTCAGTGGGGCCTGACATTAACATTCCCTCCACTGCTTCTGCCTTGGTGCCATGGAACAGGTAGCATTCATTGATCTCTTCCACTAGATCATACTTCCTTGATAAATTTGGAAGTGTTTGTACGACCCTCTGTGTTTCAACTTGTCTGATTCGCATACTCCTTAATTTGTGAAGAGCTTTGATTTCTCCTCTTACAGCTTCCATACAAAACCCATATCTGCGTCCTGCGTAGCGATGATACAATTCTGGATTTTCAATCCTCTGTACTTTGGTGATATGTAGCCGTCTGTGGGTTAATCCCTGTGCATCTTGACTATGTCCGACTTTACTGGGATCAAAGGTCTTGATCATGAGTTGCACCACCTCCTTAAAAGTGGTGTCATCCTCATAAATTGTGACAAGGTGATATGGTTTTGGTATTCTTCCTGTTACAACACCTGTTACATCAGAAACCAGTGTCTTAAAAGGGTTAGTAAAATGGGTCCAGTAATCTGGTTCATTGTTTTCCAAGCTTCCTGCTAGATACCGCACATACGCCACACGGTTTCCACCTTTCTGGAAAGATTTCTCTTCTAGTCGTCTTTGGGAATCTTGATCTCCTCCATTTTCAGATAGTAATTTTTTGTTGACAAATTCTAAGACATCTGACTTTGCCATAGCAACACTGCTTCGTTCTCCTGTTATTATGACTTTGGATCGTCTTTTATCTAAAGTGAAATATTTTAGTTGACACTTTATTTTTTAAACATAAAAATGTATCTTAGTTTGCACATCCAAACAGAAGCAACACATTATTCAGTCTTGTGTACATAGACAGTTCCAATTATTGCAAATACCCTCTAAATATTTCTTTTTTCGTTAAAAGACATCAAACACAATCTGCTCCCTCTTTTAAGAGACAAATATCAAAGTACATTAAAATCTTCACATTATGAACAAAATTTCAGAATCCTTATGCACACCTATTTTTAATTCCACTCCTTTCTTTGCTATTTCACTCTCAAGTTTTCCGAACTGTCTTCCTCCAAAATGTCTCATAAGATGCTTGTCAATTGGGACCACTTGTTTGTCACAATTTTCCCTGAGGGCAGATTCCACACTTCGTCTCACTGCTTGTGCTTTTCCTTGAGACTCGGCAAAAATGTGAAAGACAGGATAAGGTTGTCTGATTTCCTTGGGTTCAAATGAAGGGGTTTGGACATCATCATGATCTGAAATATATTTTCAAACAATTAGACTTTGTCAGCTAAAACTAATTAATTTTTTTAAAAAGTAACACCTGTAAAATATATATATTATAACATATATATATATGTATTAACCAGAAAAAAAAAAAAAATATATATATATATATATATATATATATATATATGTGTGTGTGTGTGTGTGTGTGTGTGTGTGTGTGTGTGTGTGTGGTTGTAGTTATCTTCTTTTATATATATAAGAAAAGAAGTATATATATATTAATCTAAATCTTGGAAATTCTAACTTATAGGCCATACATTTATACCCTACATATATTTAGCCATCAAACATGTCCTACTGCTAAACACATCCAGGCTAATTTCCCGTTGGGTGGGGTTGATATAACATTGTTTTCTGATGTTGATACAACATTGTTATCTGAGGTTGACACAACTTTCAAATCCAACGTTTATTCAATGTCTACTCAACGTTATGGTTCAACGTTGTTTCAACGTTAAAACAACATAATTTGCCCGCTGGGAATCTTGCTGGTCCTCTGGCTCATCTGGTGAACATGATCGACCAGTCAGACTGGCAGTATATCCCCATATCTGATCAAATATGGCAACCCACTTGCCACATAAACGGCATTAAACAGATTCCTCACAGGGATTACGTGAAAAGCATTCGAGTGGGTCAGCCATTTTTGATCTGCAGATCTGTAAGTCCACTTTTGTGAATTTCAGCAATTATTAGGCTGCATTCAGAACAAGTTTTTGTGAATGTGGCCTTAGATTGATCTTTGCAGCAAGTCTCATTTTAAAGCCCACCCACCATGGCTGTCCCCACTGGTAATGTCCTAATGCCATGTTTACTTCTCTACTAAATAAACTTTCTACAGAAACCAGAGGAATCTGCAATCATCTATCCTCTCATCATTTTCTAATGAAGACTATACAGACATACAACTTACCTTGAGAATGTTGTCTACTGTGGCGCCCTCTTGGAGATCTTCCTCCTGACTTGGATGCCAGCTCATCTTGAAAGTCTTGGAAGGTGCTGCCATCATACACCACTAGGTTGACATACTGGAACAGACAGCAAAACAAAAAATAACAAATATTTCTTTATATATAACATAGATGGATAACTGTGCCAGTGTGTCCACAAGTATTTTGTAGCGACAGACAAAGTTTCAGATTTAAAGTTAACATTTATCTACGGTAAAAAATTAGCAACACCTACAATTTGAGAAGCCAACAATATTAAGTAATCAAACAAATTACAAACAGAACCTTTAGTTAATGTAGACTCGTCCCACAAGAAATCGACACCTTCGAGAAACCAATGAAAACTGGATGTACGTGTTTTTTTTTTTTGTTGTTGTTTTTCCCCATTATGCCCATCGTACACACTTTGTGTTGTCAAGTAAAACTAGAGGATCAGAGAGGTGATACCGCCTCCTGATATTGTACCACCAGCTGGAGTAAGCACATTCGTATGGAAAACCAAAAACAAAGCGACACAACCACCAGTGTTATGTTTGACAAGCTCTACAAAATACAATAAACAAGAAAAAAAAATGCTCCCCCACCAAAAAAAGCGCAAAAAAAAAAGCATAACTTTTATAAAAATGGTCCGATCAAGTTGGTTTTCAAACTCGACCTGTATTTTCCTAATACTGATCACTCCCGTGATTTTCAAAACAATAGGCCTATCAGTTATCCTTGAAATGTGTTATCAGTGTTGTATATATGCTGAAAAAAGAAATAGGCCTATCTCTGCCAGTTTTGGAAATACCAGGAATAGAAAATTTGCAAAGTTCAGTGCATAGTGAAAAGTAGGTCATATAAGAGCCAGAAAATTTGCAAAGTTCAGGTCATGGTGAAAAGAAGGTCAAATGTCTATTACAAGGTCATATACTGATTGCCATACACTGAATATTGCTACATTATACTTTTTAATATAGCGCAACTCCTAAACCATATCGAAAACATAAAATTAATGGATACCATTTCCAGTATTGTGCTTGACAAGCTCTACAAAATGCCAAATACAAGAGGTCTCTAGCATTTATGGTTCCAGAATTAGTGAGAGTATTCAGTTTTAGCATCTGTAATGGCTGTTTCTCCCGTGGAAATGCACTGATTGACACTTAACTCCCAAAGATAAAAGAAGTCCCTAATTGTAACCCCTTACTACAATATGAGTGCTTACCGGTAGGTCTGTGTAGTTCCTGAAAATTGGCACAAATAAAATTTTTTGGGAAAAAATGCCCATTTTTAGAAATTTTGGGCCTGTTTGACCTTGATATAAAGGTCAAAGGTCAAATCCAAGGGCATATTTGGAATCTCCACATTTTATTTTCAGTCAGACTTCTATAGTAATTTTTCCCATAATTTCTTCAGTTTAGGAGATATTTAGCATTGAATTTTCGAAAATTTTGACAAGGGTGCATTTCAACGAGCATCACACCCAGGTGAGTGCACCAACTGAGACAAAAAACCAGGGGATTCAAAATGAGATTATATGTGACCTAAGCCAAGAGATGGGCACACAAGCCCTTGCAGTCTAGGAAGAGAAGCGGTAATGGTCACTTGTATCCCATGCCACCCTGAGGAGCCGTACGGATCCGTACGGGCCAGGACTAAAACAATCGAGTTCCGCCAGAGTACAAGCTGACAGTACTAATAAGGCATCTGATACACAGTATGAAATCTAACATTCATATATGCTTGTTTACAATGTGTTCAGAACACTTTGTTTACACTGACAAGTCAAAATCAGAGATGCACCATTTTATGTCTAAAAATGCAGTTTGAATACAGATTACTGAATTTTCTTTAATCTGCATGGTCATTTTCTCAACATTTGTATAAGCTACTGAATAATTCTCATCAGAAAATCACCCAGCAGCTTGCCAGCTTCTCAAGTACAACTGAATGATATCACGACTACTTCCAGTTTTCGTCAAGAACTTGAAGGCGTTTGCAGTATGGTTTGCTGCACATTTAATGTATTCTCAAAATCTATGCAACTGTTTGGATTGAAATATACAACACTTGTACTTTATACAATATTGCACCTATGTGCAAAATTTGAGAGCTTTACTGCCTTTAGCCTTACGTTATCTACAGTGCCCATTCAAATTTGAAAATGAGCCTTTTTCCATCAATTTTTGAAGGGCGAGTCTATAGACCTTTTAAATTAAAATTCAGCCCTCTACAACAACAACAACAAAATAATAATAATAATAATAATAATAATAATAATAATAATAATAATAATAATAAATAAATAAATAAATAAAATAAAATACATAACATAAACATGTACAATTTGAGATATGCAAAAATCCAATCAATTGATCAATAAGTCAAATTACAGTACCTTCAGACTTGTTCTTCCTTTGGCAAATTTTTCACACTCCTCCAGAAAAGTCTGAGCCACCAGCATTGGGCTGTACTTGAGGTTACCACAGCCAATGGAGGGAAATGCTATGGAAGTGAGGCCGACGTCTGACGCCATTTGGAGACATTCAGAGATAACTCTGCTTAGGATCTGCAATTAATGAAAAAACATATGTCTGATAGATAGACTGAGAGACATAGATAGTGTGTGTGTGACCAAATAAACTGTATAACAAACCAGGGTAAACTAAATCACTATTATGTATTATATAATACATCACCTTAGTAGCAGCATGCACTGCGTGTACTACATACAGAAATAAAAAGAAATACATATGATTGTTTAGATCAGGATCACATAATTAAATCTACACCATCATAACAACCAAGTTATAATGTTCAATAAGTGTTTGAAATGCTAAAACAATTATTATCCAAAATACTTCTAGATATCTTTTCACCATAAATATACTTACAGTTTCTCCCTTCCCACGAGCATAAGTTGGCAGAACCACGTGATAGACTACCTTGCAATTGTCAGGCAAAGTCCCACATTTCCTGGTCACCACCACCTCACCAAAACTGGCACACACTGTATTAAGTTTCTGAAATATCCAATTAATTAAAGCTACCAGTATGTCTAATATGTCTACTGTTCAATGTCCACAACAGCTCTAAATTTACATCCATGGATAACTGATATACCTGAAATAATTTTATGGCTCATTTCATAAAAATGTCAAGAATGTGTTTACACAATGACCAAAATGAGAAAAAATAAACACTGATAATAAAACTAGCACATTCAAGTGCTTATTATCAAATACTGAACAATCTTTTAGAAACAGTACTCAGTTTATGAAGTAATATTCTATAACAAGCAGAATTTGCCTTCAGACAAACATGCTTCAAAAAGTAGTTTTCACATGCAACATATAAATGGAAACTCTTAGTCTGTGTTCAGAATAGAAGTATTGTACTGGTACTAGCAAGATTGATCTATCCCAGTGGGGATTCTTGCTATGGCACAGTCAATGTAATCAGCTGAATTGTCTGGCATGCCTCCTCGTACTTTGAAGTACTTGGGTAAAGTTGGAAAACTTTGTGGTCCATGATGCTGTTCATGTTGCTTTGAGAAGGGACATACTAAGTTTATGAATTGATACTCTATAACAATCAGACTTTGCATTCAGAAAAAAATGTTTAAAAAAAGTTTTCACATGTAAGGATGGAACAGAAAATTGCAAAACTCTTACATCTTGCAGTTCTTGTCCCCCCACTCTGAGGAACTGCCTGGCTATCTGACCATGCTCTAAGTTCAGGTCCTTTCCAACTACATTCACCAACACAGAAGACTGAAATATTATTATTATTATTATTATTATTATTATTATTATTATTATTATTATTATTATTAATCTTTTTATTATTGGTGAAAACTGAAAAAATCAACATCCTGAAATTGTAGCTTTAAATTTCTCATTTAAACCATATGAAAAAACTATCAAAAAGAAGATTGAAAATCCTGAAATCAGGCATACAACTTTCAGATATGCATTATTACTTATTAATCACTCATTTCAGACTTAAGTACTGGTATAATTACTTTTAATTATTATATATTTCAATATAGAGTCACAATGTCACATCAAAATCACAATGACTGATGGAAATACCATTACAAAAGCTATGATATATGATATACACCCAATGATTTCTGATTTACATAATGTTAAAGCAATAATAAATCTTCCTTTGAGATTCAAAATTCCGCTAGAAATACATTGTAAACAATGCATGAAAATATATTATATTGTATTTTACCACTAAAACAGCTGTTATTGTAGTAAAACTTAAATCTGTGCTTGTCAATAGTATAGGGCTTTCGATGCCTTCCTTCCCGTTTGTCAAGGCATCCATTGCCAATGACGTTGGGGTGTCAAGCAGATTCTCGCGTTCATTCGAGACCCAAATTACATATGGCGCCATATGAACAGATACATGATGCAATCCGCAGATGTATGTTGCGAGTTTTTGTACAGTGCATCGGAAAACGAAAAGCCCAGAACTGCACACATTGTAGATAAAAATGCACTTTGAGCAATAACCCAGATAGCATGNGAATTTATGATAATAAGAATGACTGTAAGTTGTCTTTGAGTGTGTTTGTGTATTTTTAGAAAAAAATATGAATGAATCTTCCTGTAATACAAAACCTTTTTGTGTTTTTCCTTGCATCTGTTGCACCAACCACTTTTCCAAATCTTGTTTCTGCTGTTCATGTTTGTGCTCCAGTAATTGGCAGTAGGATTCTGTGATCTCTCTCATGTGATGCTCCAGCTGCTTTTGCTGTGTATCTAGCTCTTGAGTGACTCTGTAAGGGTAAGCCGAAACTATTTTATTTACATTTCTGTATTTACTTTTATACACAAAGCTGAAAACTGATTTTAATATACATATTATATACTATAGCAATCTGTTTGGTATAATATCTGCTTCCAATGGGTGTTTTATGTGGATGGCATGCAGTTGGACTAATCATGACATTTTTTGACTACTTATATATGGGCACTAATTATTAAATGCCATTACAGGTAATCAGAGATAATGGAAGATTTAACATTTAGTGACAGCTAGCCAAGTTCAATCAGACCTTATTTAAAGAGGGAGGAAAGACAAAATAATAATAATGATAATAAATATATATGTGACCTTAAAAATTCACCAAATTTGTTTTTACAGTGTAAACTGTTATAATTTCAAATATGTTACAAAGTAAATTTTTTATTTCACATGTCCAAAAAATTGAATATTTATCTTTTGAATATTGAATATTTATCACTTGATACAGATGAAGTTATTTTTTACCTGTGTTCCAATTCTTTGATCTGTTTTCTGCTCTCACTCCTAAGCTGCTGGTGCTGCTTTTCTTGTCCTTCAGTTTGATCCCTGTCAACAAGAACAGTTACATTTCTGCTATTTAAAAAAAGTGTGATACTGATTACCATAAAAATTCATGTCCTTTTTTATATCATGAGTCTTCATTCCAAGTTTAATCTACACCAATCCAATATCAGTACACTAAAAACTGATTTTATCACTCACTAATTGCCTATTGTTCAGGTCATAAATTTAATAACGTTGGCACCTATAAGCAATGAGTACCACAATATTATATATATATTTTTTTCATTACCTCCGTCTTTTAGTCTGTTCCTCAATATGCTGTACTTGTGCCTGATGTAGCTGATGTATCTGCTGTCTGTTTAATTCTTGCTGCTCAGCATATGTCTGTTTTAAAGAGGCAACAATTTTTTCCTCCTTCTGTAGTCTCAGTTTTTCTAGGTCATTTTGCAATTGTGAGATCATTGCATCTTTCTATAATACAAAGTATTATCATGAAATGTGGCAAATAGACCTTTTTGACTGTGTCATACTTAAAATAAATTTATTATTGTGGCTGATAATTATAGTTACTGCGAATAACTACTGAGGTAAAGAAAAAAACACACAAAGAAAATATAATTACTGAAATACCAATCTATATACCACAAACTTTAATTTTTCAGAACTATAACAGACTGCTAATGCTTTAAAATATGTACAGCAGTGAGACTCTTTTCCATGTCCTTCAGTTTTTCCTTGTCTTGTTCTCTTTCTTCCAGCACTTTCAGTAGTTTTTCGTAGTTCTTGTTCATATCTGTTTTGACTAATAAAAAATAATATTTTTTGTTAAAGATATTTCAAATGTGTGCTATCAGGAATTCAGTCAAATTTGTAGTGTAAATATATTACTTCATGGCTAATAAAGTTTCATTTGTGTTAAATAAATAGGATGATTATATACCTTTCTTTTAAATTTCTAAATTTAAATTTATTTACATATTTTGGATTATAATATGTTATTTCTATAAATCAACTCCCCTCATGGTTTTATACATCAGATCGACACATTAAAAAATATTATCATTTTATTCTCATTATGCTCACTTTTTTCTAACATATCTGTCACCTTTTCATCATTTGTTCTGATGCCTTGGTGGATGTCCTTTTTCATGGAAGCTACTGTTCCAGTAACCTGAAGAAAAATGGTTGTTAATAACTTCTTATTTTGAGACACAATTTAAAATTCTTCATTTTTTTTTACATGAATACTAAATTTATGTAATATCAGACATTATTATTATGTGCGTGCTGGCAAACTTTCTTACATTTTCAAAGATGATTTTTAACTTACTTCTTGAGTGCATTCTCTGACTGTTGTTACAATAGAATCCAATAGGTCTCTGTAAAAATAAAAAAAAATATCTAAACAGTTTCTCTTAAATTTTGCTACAAGATATTTTTGTTACACTGATTATATAATTTTTGACATTATATTTATTCTATCTGCTTTATTTTGACCAACCTTTCATCTCTTTCTCTGGCCTTTGCCTTGTTAATTTGCAACTGCTGCTGGTAGTTTATCTTCCCTGGAGCTTGTGCACTGCTTCTGTATGGATTGTTTTCATTACTGAACAGAGGGCTCATAGCTTTATACTTCTGATAAAAATTTGACCCAGGAGACTGAAAAGAAAATAAAGATAAAAATGATGAACAATAATTGCTTTTTTCATAAAACCTATAGGGCCTACATTATAAACACATAACTTTTAAAAACATGTTAACATCACAGGACCATGTGTAGGCTAGTGACTGTTGAAATATATTTCATATTGAACTGATGTGCCACAAGCTAGTACCTCACTTCCTTGTGGGACAAATTGCTGGGAATATTCCTGTGATCCACTTCTCTGAGAGTACAGGTATTGAGAATTACTACTTGAACTAAAAGCTGAATCATTATTGCAGTCATATCTGTTGCCAAGAAGTTGACTGAAAATAGATGCAATGGTATCAATCTATCTGTTGTCTAAGAGGCACTTGACATATTTAAAAATAAATAATAATAATAATAATACACAATGAAATAAATGAAATAAATAATCAATATGATAATAGAAAGGTACATGTAAAAACTTACAATAATATCAGAAATATTGAATCATGCATGTTTCAGTCTACAAATACAATGAACATTTGTTATGCTTAAATATTAAGTAAAGTAGTATATACTGGCCATTCTACTGCATTTTTCCATTCTAAATCATGTTTAACCAGTGTTTCATTACTGTTTCGATCATTATCAAACAACGCTTGCAGAGAAAAATGACTGATCAAGTAAAGGGACAACAGGCCATCTTTTACCATTTTTCTTGCTTTCCCAGATAGCATGCATACGTTGGGCCAACATTGGCCCAACGTTGCCTTGGTTGACCATGCAACGTTGGCCCAACGTTGGGTTTCCATCTAAGTGCTCACTTTGGCCAACGGTTGGCTGAACGTCTTTTTAATGCCAACGCATTGCCAACGTATTCCCAACCAAACTGCGTTGGCCCTACATTGGGCCAACTAATAACCAACATTGCTCCAACAATTACCCAACCTGTAACCAACAGTGCATTTACGTTGGTCCTACTAATAACCAACATCAGTCCAACGATTACCCAACCGAACNTTATGATAGTTTCTTACTTTATAATAATTTCTTGCTTTATAAAGATATGAAAAGTTCAGAAGAAATTGAAAGAGTTGAGAGCGTGAGGGAAACACGGGAAGTGGACGCAAAGTTAAGATTATCATTTATTTTCAGAGAATTGCCCAATTAAAAGTAAAAATTAAGCGCTTTCACTTATGTTAATCAAATTTTCAAAATTTTGTTTTGCATAGTGAATTCTTAAATACTAACTTACCCTGGATTTGTCACGTACAGATCTTTCGTGCTGGCTTGATTTGCAGAACTAAACATGATCTATAGATCTAACTTTTAAAATTATTGTTGATTTGTAAAAGTCCCAACTGTCGTTCACATGTCTTGACTTAGAAATAATAATATTCGTAAACCCGTTTAAATAATAGAAACTTTTCGGTCTATACAATGTAAAAATCGCCGAATTAATCCATACAAATACTAGATATGAAACAATATGAAAAGACAGTCACTTAATGAAGCAGAAATTTAAAAAATGTGCTGTTTGACACAAGACTTGGGTGTCAGTCACCACCACTGTGTGTCAAGCAGAGCAGACGATGTGCTAAAAAAAATAAAGAATATCATGTATCAAGGGTAAAAAATAATAATAACAGGCATATGATTTATATAGCGCGCGATATTTATCAAATTCGTAAAAATAAATGTGTTTATTCAATAAATTATGAATTTAATTAATATTCAACCTAGTCTAAAAAATATGATGAAAATTGCGTTCCGCACGCTAGTGTATTTCCTTGTCACTATATGCCTAACCTCTGACCTATGACCCCTGTAAGCGTGTATTTTCACTTCCGTGTAAACAGGTGATTGAAGTGGTTGGATACGGTAAACAATCCACCTGTATAGCCGATGAATTGAAGCTATATTTCACCTAGAGATCCATGACTTTCAATTGTTATGCCAGGTCCATGTGTTGACTAGTTTGTATTTCGTTTTTATAGAACATGTATCTTCGATAGGATATTTAGAGAATTATGGCAAATTTGAAACTAATTGAGGGAACATGGGTAAGTACCAAGTTTGCGATACAGTGAAATTTGTGATACGTTTGCTGGCAGATCTTTGTTTTATCTAAGAGAATTGATTCCTACGATAAGATTGAACTATGCTGCTTAATATTCACTTACCACATTCATTTTGTATTATGAAATAATGTTATAGTTTATCCCCTCACTACAGTGTCAATGAAAGTAAGATCCTTGCTTTATTATATATTATTTGATGTAAGTTTTTAATTAAAAACTATCACTGACAGTAGTAAATCAGTATCTTTACTGATCTTTTGCAGTTTCCTACTGGCTACTATGGGCATTTTCGCAGTAAATCTAGGAATGATTATATAAATGAATTCCGTTATTTGGCAAAACCGTCACCACCGAAGAAGTTCATAAAGCGCTCAGGGGTAAGTCTTAACAGATTACTTGTTATTATTTTATATTGAGGCCCAAAATGCCCATTTGGCATCTAACAGGACCTCATACAAAATCTGAATTATGATTTGCACAAATGTTTTTATTTCTTATAATAAAGTACCCAGTATCACATTCCAAACAACCCTCACCCTGATGAAATTCCTACGTACAGTATGTGTTCCTGTACTGGACTTGTATGGACCAATACAATGTCATTAGTTAAGGTTGCAGTCAATCATTAATCCTTGTATTATTTTCATTACCGTTTTACCACAAAGTATATTATATGAAAACATAACTGACTAAAAAATATTTAAAATCATGTAAAAGTTTGTTTTATTTATTTATTTATTATAAGAATCAGGAATTATATCACTTCATATTTGGTACTGGTCAACACACTGAAAGCTGGTTGCATTTTCAACAATTAAAAAAAATTATCCAAAATCACTTTCAGCACAGTGAGGGATATATTTTAATTAAATTCATCATTATTTTCTATCAATTTTTTTGTTCCAGGAAAATGTGGCAAGGCATGTGTTTTCTCATCACGACAACAGAGAAGCTTTCCTAAATGATGCTTTATATTTTGAACAGGTAAGTTGCTGTATAGCCTGAGAACACGGTCAGTGCTCCAAAACTCTTATTTTGTAATATTTTTGAGCTTCAAAAGTAGCCAATCCCCTCCTGAACTGATGTAGCTTGCGTTCTCTTGGGTTCTTCATTTCACTTTTTTTTTTTAGGCCTATAAGTTTTAACCTTAGAGCTTATTTTAATAAAAACAAACAGTTAAAAGTGCGTAGATGTCAAATACTTGTCATTCTTAACAAAGAAGTATATTTTTTCTGAAGCAACATAGATCATTATTCTTTCTCCCTCCTTTTATAATGATTTTAATACACAGATAATCATTGGTTAGCTATCAATTTTTAACAGTTACTATATGAGCCTCATCAACTTCTGAGTACAAAAATACTAGAATAAGATCCACATTATTTTATTTTGGAGATAAAAAATAGTATTTCTTCATATACTACTAGGGTTTCGTAGCATTTAGTATTAGATTAGGAAAAGATATCATTGTGCTTAAAATACACCAGAACAGCTTTTCAAGTAAAGCATAATAATTTCTTTGGTTATGAAAGTGGTTGACTTCATGCAGTACAGATTTTTCCTAACAAGTCTGGTCTGACCCAGTGCAATGCAGATACTGTATTATTGTTCAAGGCACAAAAAAGCAGGCCATTATTAAGCCTTTTGTATTTTCTCTTTTAATAAAAGTATTCATAGCAAACAAATCAGTTCAGGATTAACAAATGATATCCCCCGTGTTTGATGTTTTTGTGAAGAGTAAGGTTACCCCTTCACCTCTGAGTATTTACAATTTTGTAGGCACAAAGGATTGCACCAACATTGTGCTTAAAATGTATGTAGGTACACAGAAGCAGCACATATACAGACAAAGCAAATTCCTTTTCGATTACAGCTGAGCTCTTATCGACTCCATTATTTGTACTGGTTTGTGAAAAAAACATAATTTTTTTCAACTGAAATGATATACTTGGCAACACACACACAGTGCACAAATACAAGAAATTTAATTAGTGGTAGTGGATTATTCAGGCACATTTCATTTTATCAGAGAAAGAAAATTATAAAATAGACCTATATCCATTAAAAGGCATATCTTTGTTCAACATTTTCTTTTAACTTCACCAAAACATTGCTTATTTATGATGCAATGCAGGCTTACACACAGAAATTTTAGAATTCCTGCTGCCAAGATGACCTTTTCAAAGTACAAAATTAAAACAATAAAAATGACAATATAATCAATTATATAGCCATTATTTGAAAGTATAGCACGATAAATGAATTACATACATATGGGTATAAATACCAGAGCCACATAAAGTCTACTGTTACCTTTTTTATGATGGGCAAATGTGTTGGCGGAATCCTCTCAGACATAACTTTTATATTTTTAAAGTTGCATCACCAATGAGATTTAATATATTTTTCTTATTTCAGGGTCTTGGCAGACGCCGTGTTAAAACCCCATACGTGAGCACATTCAAACCAGATCTGATCACATGGATGCCACACAAGAAAGAGCTAGATCGCTCAGAGCCACACGTGTCCACTTATAAACTCAATTACAATGTCCATGCCAATGCAAGGGAGCAGCTTTTCATAAAAAGACCCAAATCCTCTTTTGATCCTGACTTTAAAGCTACTACAACATATCGTTATGCCCATGGCAAGGACAACCCTAACAGAGATACATTGTGTGCAATGAATAACCAAATTTTACTTACAACAGGACAGAGACAGTTAAGACCACACACTGCAAAAGCTAGGGAGTCTGTGGCCTCATGTATGAGCTGGAATGTAGCCCCCACTACAACCAGGCGGATTCCTCAAGCCACAGCGACATATCCTCCAGCTACTTGCACTCCAGCTTCCACACAGGTGTCTCTTCCAGGTGCAACAACGGTGGTGCAGTGAAAACACCCTGCTTTAGTCATTCTTTTTAAATGGGGTTCAGTACACTTCACATATAACTCTTCTCCTTATAAATCAAATTGTGGTTTTATTGTAAGAAATTTTGTAGAAAGCATTTTTTTCTCTTTGGCTTGAAATTATGAAATTGGGATAACTTTGGTGTAATTTAAACAAATTTTCCAGTCCTCAATGTCTTGAGTTATGCAGGGTCTTCTGTATCACAGGTTCACTGCTTAGGTTCAATTATTCAATGAAATAACTGGATACTGCAATACGGCAGAAGAAAGGGTATTATTCCAGCCAGTCTGTGAAAAAAGATTGTTAATGCACAAAGAGATCAAACAGAAATTTATTGAATGGTTATTTCTCTGTAATTTTGAAAGGGACATGATTCTCAGGGGACACTGCGTCTAGATTAACAGATAAAGACCAATTCAAAATAAGGAGAATTATTCACCATATAGATTACTTAGGTTTACAATTTTAATATATCTGTACTGGGTATTCCACGTGTCAGGTAAAAAAAGTTCACTGACATTCAAATCACAAGGGCTCATAATTCAAGGATTCTTGAAATCCAAGTCATTATCAAGAACAAAATTCTAAAACATTCCATGTTTACTGTAGGTGCTCATGTAAGTTTTTGGAAAGTCCAGTTTCATGTCAGTCTCTTTACATTAAAACCATGTAATTATACAACTTTTTGAAGTAATCTAACATTAATAGGTCAATTCTGGAAAAATGTAATTTTCAAAGCACAGAGTCTAGGTTAATTCAATGCAACCGAGAAAAGCTGAACTCTAACAGGAAATGGAGGAATTGATTTTGCAGGAGAAAACAGAATTAAGTCTCAGTTATGGACTGCTTATTTATGCTCAGCATTCAGTATTGTATAATCAAGGCATTAAATGATCATGCCATAGAAAATTGGAAGACTGCCCTGTTTTTAGCAATTACCAGTGTATTATTATCCTCTATTTAAGAACTTCACTCAGAATATAATGCATGAAATTGCTGTTGTTTCACTAGATCCTTTGACATACTTAAGTAGTATGAAAGTTACGAACAGTGTATAGAAGTGCAGGATGTGTTTTTCAGCTAAGTAAATATTTTTTTACAGTAAAGAAAAGCTAATCTTTTCATTTACTCTCATTTTTATAGAGGTGCCATAAAAGTATTAACATTTCCAGCCACGGTGAGGCAAGAATTATGTTATAAGTAAGTAGCAACTGTTGCTAGGTTGCCTCTAACAATAACTTAACTGCTTAAGAATTATGCAGGACTAAGTACACATGTATTGAAAGATTATCTCATCATTAATTAATCTTACGCTGTATTATATTGATAATCAATGTGCTTTACATCCAAGGGTAGTATACCACTGAGCATGGTGTAGTTCTAAAATGAAATGAATTGAAATATTTTAGTTTAGAAGTGTTCAATTCAAACGTCAATCAAAAGATTCAATAAAATAAATTAATCTCTTCAACACTGATAATTCTAACTTCACTCCAATTGTAATTCTGAATTAATCTTTAGCTTCTTCAGCATTTAAAAACATTTTCTTTCAATGCTTGTTCCAACATACTATTTAAGGCAGCTTCATTATTGCTGTTTATATGTTTTTGTTGTTAGTTTATATATATATATATATATATATATATATATATATATATAAAAAATTTTTGAAAAACAAGGTTACACTTTGTAAACCCTAGGTAAAGATATTGAAGTATATGTGCTTTCTCTGGCAACTAGTCTTGTTTACTCCTTCATTTATCCAACAGGTTTATGGATAACAGATGACTAAGTTTATCCTATTGTTCTTAATCTACCTGGGTATATGAATTTACATCAGTCAGTGTAATTTTTGTGTTGTTTAATAATTATGTAGTCATGGACAATTTGTGTGACTGTGATTGTTGATTTTTATACTAACATTTAAATTATCATAGGTATGTTTTTTCCTTGAAAAGAAGAAAAACATCTGAAGAGTTGGGTGAATGCATTATTTGCTGCAAAAGTTACCTCATGTCTACACCAACAATGTCACATTTTAAAATGTCAGTGTGTTACCACCACTAACATGACTAGGCAATAATAATACATTAGAGTGACAAAAAGTATATTAACAAATAATAACTTCGTTGTTCAATAAAAATAATTTTAATACAAAAAAGAGGTTACATTTGTCTTATATTCCATTTTCATAAGTAACTGTTGTTGTCCAATATCCAAAATGAGTTTGTGCCACCATTTATGACATATTGTTAAAGTCGGAACCCAAAAAGGTGATGTAAAAAAATAATTTTAATGGCTGTCACTTTGAATGCAAAGTACACTTTGGAAGTTGCCTATGAGACCCATATTCCTGAACTTAAAAAAAATGAAGATTGACATCAAAGTGCTTCTCTCAATCTTAATAAGTTGACAATTTGAACATCATCACTTCAAAGTTACGTGTTAAAATTCTCCTGTCTGTATGTCAATTGTAACCTCACTCAAAGTTAGTGCACTTACCAATAAGTGAGAAATGAAAAAGCCATTTCTCAAAAGAAAATAGCACAGCCATTAATGCTGGAACCAGGATATTTCCACCCTCCGTTTCCCCTTTTCTTTCACTAATTATGAACTTACTTTACATATGTGAAAACCCTGTTCAGAGGGTCTCAGAGAGTGGGATTTCTTCTTTTCTTTGATGCTGGGGGTGGATGGGTAGATAAACAAGCCTATCTTTGGAAAAGGAAAGGCACAGCTTCTAATAACCCCTATGGATCTGCCCATGATTGCATTCTATATTACACTGACATCACGTTCTGTCCACCTGCCCTTGTTCCCATCCATCTTCATACACAAGCCCTTTTCACAGAAGCAGACTTCACAAATCACATCCCTTTATGAATGTTTCCACTGCCTTTTTGTGTTCCCCTGTCTATGAAATTTTAAATATACCATCTTCTTTGATCAGTAAACACCAATGTGTAGGACGTGTCTCTCTTACATACCATCCCTGTCTCGAGGAGGGTTTGGTTTTCTATATTTATATTTCCCTGGCCTGAAATTCATGCAAGTAAAATCATTAGCACTGCCATGATAACAGACATTTGAAATGCATATAACTGATTTTACACTAAAAATACACCCCAATCTCCCAATAAAAAAAATTAATTAAAATTAATTTATAAAACTCATTTCCTTTTTTTGAATTTATTCAGGAAGAACAATACTTGCTTGCAATTTTTTTCCTGCCACATGCTCAAAATAATTCAAACAAATCATTTTATTTCATTTATTTGCCAAGTCATTTTTATTATACATCATAAACAGAATTTANTATATATATATATATATATAAATAAAATTTTTGAAAAACAAGGTTACACTTTGTAAACCCTAGGTAAAGATATTGAAGTATATGTGCTTTCTCCGGCAACTAGTCTTGTTTACTCCTTCATTTATCCAACAGGTTTATGGATGACAGATGACTAAGTTTATCCTATTGTTCTTAATCTACCTGGGTATATGAATTTACATCAGTCAGTGTAATTTCTGTGTTGTTTAATATTTATGTAGTCATGGACAATTTGTGTGACTGTGATTGTTGATTTTTATACTAACATTTAAATTATCATAGGTACGTTTTTTCCTTGAAAAGAAGAAAAACATCTGCAGAGTTGGGTGAATGCATTATTTGCTGCAAAAGTTACCTCATGTCTACACCAACAATGTCACATTTTAAAATGTCAGTGTGTTACCACCACTAACATGACTAGGCAATAATAATACATTAGAGTGACAAAAAGTATATTAACAAATAATAACTTCGTTGTTCAATAAAAATAATTTTAATACAAAAAAGAGGTTACATTTGTCTTATATTCCATTTTCATAAGTAACTGTTGTTGTCCAATATCCAAAATGAGTTTGTGCCACCATTTATGACATATTGTTAAAGTCGGAACCCAAAAAGGCGATGTAAAAAATTTATTTTAATGGCTGTCACTTTGAATGCAAAGTACATTTTGGAAGTTGCCTATGAGACCCATATTCCTGAACTTAAAAAAAATGAAGATTGACATCAAAGTGCTTCTCTCAATCTTAACAAGTTGACAATTTGAACATCAATGCTGGAACCAGGATATTTCCACCCTCCATTTCCCCTTTTCTTTCACTAATTATGAACTTACTTTACATATGTGAAAACCCTGTTCAGAGGGTCTCAGAGAGTGCGATTTCTTCTTTTCTTTGATGCTGGGGGTGGACGGGTAGATACACAAGCCTATCTTTGGAAAAGGAAAGGCACAGCTTCTAATAACCCCTACGGATCTGCCCATGATTGCATTCTATATTACACTGACATCACATTCTGTCCACCTGCCCTTGTTCCAATCCATCTTCATACACACGCCCTTTTCACAAAGGCAGACTTCACAAATCACATCCCTTTATGAATATTTCCACTGCCTTTTTGTGTTCCCCTGTCTATAAAATTTTAAATATACCATCTTCTTTGATCAGTAAACACCAAGGTGTAGGACCTGTCTCTCTTACATACCATCCCTGTCTCGAGGAGGGTTTGGTTTTCTATATTTATATTTCCCTGGCCTGAAATTCATGCAAGTAAAATCGTTAGCACTGCCATGATAACAGACATTTGAAATGCATATAACTGATTTTACACTAAAAATACACCCCAATCTCCCAATAAAAAAAAATTAATTAAAATTAATTTAAAAAACTCATTTCCTTTTTTTAAATTTATTCAGGAAGAACAATACTTGCTTGCAATATTTTTCCTGCCACATGCTCAAAATAATTCAAACGAATCATTTTATTTCATTTATTTGCCAAGTCATTTTTATTATACATCATAAAGTTAACAGAATTTATTGGGGATATCTTTATTTGGAAAAAAAAAAACTGAAATGTGGACAGGCCCTGGTTCAGGTTGAAAAGCTCTAATGCTACATTACCTAGGTCTGAACTCCCATCTGTAGGTATAAAACATCTCAGACAGTTCCCGTGTTGTAGGACCAGAGGGACGCTGTCTCTTGTGGTAATCCCAACGATACTGAACTTTGAGGGCAGAATCACCCTGGAAAGAAGAATTAAGAATTAGGTAGAATTACAGTATTTCTCTGACAAATAAATAGAACTTTTCAACTTTGAGTAAAAAGAGTTCATCTTATTCTGAATCTGAGGATTGTTATTTATTATGTTTATGATTTTTTTATCATGAAAATACATTAATAAGCCGATATATCAATATAATTTTTTTTTTGCTTTTAAAGAATTTACTTCTACACTGATTCCCAGGCTAAAACCAATCAACAACAACAAATAATACTAAACAAATAATGAAATACCTCTCTAACTGCTTCTTCAAATCTTGGTACGGGCTAAATTAAAAGACAACAACAAAAATATTTAAATTATTTTCCAACCTTTTTATAACAATTTTGAACAGATCTCATATCTTAGGAAAGAATCAAACACTTCATACTAAATAAATTTTGGCATTAACGTAAAATTATATATCAATAATTGATGATTATAATATCTTAGCAATTAAATAAAAGTTACCTTTGTACTTTCATAGGGAAATTTCTTTGGTGGGTGCCAGCATAAAAATGTGCTGCCATCACTGGATAAAGCTATGGCTGGGTTGCTATAGCAAAGAAAAAATAACACTTCGAGATTTAGCAAGGCCATCTAACCATGTCATGCGAGACATGAATGTCAATTACACAAACACGTAATCAGCACATGCTGGGATTTACTGCAAGTGACCCAATCTGGTTATTTACAATAACCTATCAAACACTAGGACCAAGTTCCATGCAACATCACTCACAACAGCATTTTCTGATTATACAGACTATTTGTGCCAGCGCTTAAAAGAAATGGCTGAGTGCAGCGTGCTGAGGTGAGAGGTACACAAAAGTTTAATTGAGAGCCCCTGCATCACGCTGAATATGTGCTACAAATGTAACTGGCCATTATTTTAGTTATGTGTACCTCTATCTCTCAGCTGATATTTCATGCATTATTTCACATATATTAATGCTAGCCAAGAATAGCCAGTTGCCAGTGTGGCAGCCGACCCAATGACAATTAAACTAGTTGTGCTGATTTGTTAAGTTGATTCAGCAATTTTAATTACCTAGTAATATATTTCACTTTCGGGTCAAAACACGGTATTTGAAATGTCTCTGACGGGACATTTTAGAGACAATTTTAAAAATTACAGTTGGTAAATGATCCACATGGTTACTTTTAAATACATTTTTATTTAGCTAGACCATAAAGGATTATGTAAAACAAGCAGCTAATTTGTATTGAAATTAATGTGGGAATGACAATCACTTAAAGGTCTGTCTCTGACGGGACATTTTTGACCCCTGTATTTTTTTACTAAAACTCCAATGCAAAATTCTCTTTGAAATTTCATTTAATCAAGACTTTTGTGATTCATATTGCAAGGTACAAGTCTTGGGAAGCAATTAATGCACAAACAGGCCAGTTTTGTTTACTTTCCTTGGCAGCATGGGCTGTTAAGTGTAAAAAGTCACTGTCTCTGACGGGACGTCTCTGACGGGACACTTTTGGGCACTATTGAAAAATCTTAGAAAA